CCCCCCCCATGTGTTTAAAATAAAAAGATTGCCAGAAAAGAAGCATCAAGACCAAATCTGCAATGTTGTTTCTAACAGTCTGTGATGTGTTTAACCATTTATGGTCCAGCTCTCCACTGTATCACACTCTGCTTGAGCAAATGTAAAATCAATACCAGGGCATCCATATTGGATGTTTGGGAACTTTCCACTGCCAAAACCAGTTAACTCTGCCCATTTTTAAACTCTAGTGTCCTTGCTGCTTTAGAATAGAAGTGGGATAATTGATCAGGCAGTCACTTCAGGAATGGAGCTCTAGCTGTGGTTGTCCACTTGTGTGTCAGAGGGTTTAGGAGGACTTAAAATCATTATGACTGGAGACAGGAGACAGTCTGCACAGTTAAGTGCAGCCTCTTTCTGAGAAACATAATCCACTGGATGAGCAAGGCCTGAGAAGATTTCTGCTGGTTTGAAGGGGGAAGATGAGCAGAGAAATGGGAAAGGACTGGTAGCTTGAAGTGGAACTGTAAGAAATTGTGCTTTCTTCAGCCTTGAAAGAGGCTTAACTATAGCTCTTTGGCCTGAAAAGGTGGGAATGTAGCCAATACAAGGGGTCAGGATTAGTGTCCTTGTGTGAGCTAAGCCTTATGTGTCTTAACAAGGAAAGATATGGCAGAGTGGAGCAGGGTGATGCAGGGCTGATGTAGAAAGGGCAAGGGGACATAAGCATCTGTGGGGAGGGAGGATTGGACCCAGAGAGGACGCACTTCCTGGTGTGGCTCGGTTAGCCAACTGGAGCTGCTCTTGCAGAAAGGAAAATTTTTGTTTGCTCTAAGTTCCTCTCCACATTCACATATAGGAGAACTCTTCTGATATCAGAGAAAGCTCTTCAGTGGATAAATCACAGCAGAATTGGCCTTCTGCCTAGCATACTAAGGTGAAGACAGATACAATTGATAGCAATGCTATGAACTGGTCAGCAGGACAAATCTCTCAAATGAGAATGCTCACAGGGAAGGGAGGCTTTTGTGTTCTGTTCTCTTTGCTCCTCAGCACTTTTTCCAGCACATGTTTCAGATGTACCATGGTTCAGTGCAATTTGACTACCACATAGCCTGTTTTCAAGGCAAACTGTACTTTTTTGTCTCTTCTCAATTGAATTGGCATTGCTCCCTTTTCTGACAGGTTCTGTTAGTATTTTCAGACGGGCTGGATGATTCACTGGAAGATCTCAGAAAAGCAGCTGACTCTCTTCGCCTTAAAGGTATTACAGTACTGCATTGATGCTCCAGCCTCCTACTACCAGTGGCTCAATGTATTGCTTCCATGCTGCACCTTTTCCACACAACATTACCTCCCCACACTCACATGGCATTCCTCAGGGGTCACTGGGAGAGTGTTTGCTTCTCCATGTGAACCAGTGTACACGATGGCTTGACACTGTTTGGCAGATGATGGCAGAAACATGCCTAGGGGTGCAGAGGGCCTGGGATGGTTCTGATTTCTGGAGTCCAGATCCAGCAGCTGGGGCAGTTCGGGGCAGCCCCTCTCACTGATGAGCAGAGCACCAGAGGTTAGACCCAACTCTGACTTCTGCAGGAGAAATCAGTTTTACACTTCTGTTTGGGCACTGAGTAGCAGCCTGGTCTGACAAATGGGGAGAGAATTTGATTGGAAAATTACTGGTCTGGTTTTTTCTCTTGTACAATGTTCTCAATAGCCTGATTTGTTTTAACATACTGTGTTGAAGCCATGAAATGTGTCTTTCAGAGAACTGCTGTTATTCACAATGATTGATACTGTTGGTTAACTAATATAGTTCAGGCATTCACCACTTTATATGTATGCTTACATTGAAGGTCTTGATGCACTTCTATTAGTTGGCCTGGACAATACACAGAACTTGACTGAACTTCGAGAAATAGAGTTTGGCAGAGGGTTTGGATACAATGAACCTCTGAGTATTGGGTTTGCAGAGATTGCAAACATCTTGCAGAGAAACCTTGTAAGTTCTTCTGTGATATAAACTAAAGGGAGAAAAAAATAGGTCTTTGTTTTATGATTAATATACATAAATGAAATGCTTCTTGTCTTTTCAGGATACTGTTGCAGAAAGGAAATGCTGTAAAGTTGTTTGTAAATGCCTTGGAGAAAACGGTGATCAAGGTAGCCACGGAAGTCCTGGAATGAAGGTAGGAGAGCTAAGATAGACATTACTTAAGATTTGCTTTATTTTTCAAAGTGTTTTCATTTTTTGTAAGGTTTCAGAGCATGCATGCATGTGCCTGTGACCTTTGCTGTTAGGAAAGATGAAGGAGAAACATGAAATGTGATCATTTCTCTGTTGCATGTTCCTACTACAAAAGTATTTTTGTAGTGAAAATCATTCATACATATAAAAATCATTAAGCACTCTGCTTCACCAATTCAGCAGAAAATGGAGAGGGATTAAAAAAATTAAGTCTGATTAACCAAGAAGCTTATTAGCCATTGTGAATGAGAAACTTCCAGCTGACAAGCTAAGAGTAGAAAATAATCCTTCTTTGCCACGTGTGAGCGTTATCCTTTTGTGCCTCTGGTTATTTCAAATATCTTCTATATGTTTCTTCTTATCCAATACAGTACTAATTGACATTATTTCCTTTAAAATTTGATACTGTCTGTTTTAAGCATTTTGAATATTACAGATATTGCCACTTCTACAGCATCCTAATTTTTATTTTATTAAGGATTTTAGTGTATGTAGTTTCCATTTGACTACTATTCATTCCATCGTTTCTACTTATTCCAGTAACATACTAAGTAAATTACACCTGTATTTCACACTCTTCAGTTATGTGTTGCAGATAAATGAATTTTTGGTTATCTGTTAGCAAAAGTATAATCTTCTAACATTTATTTATAAACCAACTTACTGATTTCTTCCATTTCTCTTGTTGGTTTTCTTACATTTTTCTGTTTTACTAAAATGTCTAGATTAACATGCTTAGACAAAACGGTGTTCAGAATATAGACATAGTTGTTTTGCAGGTGGACAGGCATGATACCTAAGTTGTACAGCCTCCAGTTGTAGAAGACTGTTTTTACACACAAATTCATGTCTCATTTTTGATCATTTTCATTCCTAGAAATTCCATTTGGTTTTGCCCTGAGGGTATGGGTTTGCATGACTTCAAATACAAAGTTGCAGTATTCCTAGAAGCCTTTGGGGGATGTTGCAATATCTTCGTCCTAACAAGTTTTCATCTCCCTTTTTTTTTTTTTTTAATTGCATCTTAGAATTTCATTACTGTATAATGCTTCCTTTTCCAAATCACTAAGGAAGATGTTTAATGTGACTAAATATCCCAATGAACTTTGTTAACCCATCAGGCAGTTTCCTGAAATAACATACAGAAATTTTGTATTGAACATTAGGTCTGAGGGTTTTTTTGGTGTTTTGTGTTGGTTTTTTTTTTTTTATTTTTTTATTTGACAGCCATGTCAAGTACTTAGGACTGTGCAGAGTATCTGTATAAATGTAGTTGATGGAGCCTACCCTCCTCAGCATAGCCAGTTCTAATTTTCAGGAAATGTTTTCTATCTCCATGTGCAGAGTAATCTGATAGAGAGTAACCCTGTGTGCTTGGAGAACAGTGTTACTTATCTCTTAAGTTCCTGTTTTTCAGGGAAGTACAGGTTACAGAGGATCTCCTGGCCATCCTGGTGAGGAAGGTGGGATTGTAAGTAAACATTATTCCTTCCTGCTAAAATTATGTTGGTTGGTGCCTGAACCTGTCTGCATTTGCTCATTTACTCAGTGCTCATCGATGTGTTTAAGCAAGTAAATATATAGTCTTGATTCTCTGTGCATTTGTACCCCACCATAGTTAGTAATAACTTCTAATGAAGAAACAGAATCAATTAGAAAGAATCACACAACAGCATTTTATGTGGCAGATTTGACTAACTTGTACACGCATTTTTCATGACTGTGCCACATTCTGTGCTCATAGTTCTTACAGAAAAAGACATCCCTTCCCTTCTTAGCATGAGTGAATATCTTATGACTGGATAACAAAGCTAAATTTTGTTGTGTGTTTTGCTGATTTACAAATCTTTTATGGTGTCCTGTTCCTGACATGAACATAATGTGCATAAGCCACAGCTCAACCCACTAGGAGTATTTCTTTCTCTTTTGCTGTCTAGAAACAAGCAAATAAATATCCTGCAAAGAAAAAGACATATTTTCCTTAGCACCATAAGCATAGAACTAGATTTACAACACTGCGCCCATGACGTGAATATTACTCAAATATAGGTGAGAAGCCTGCAAACAAAAGAATCAGCTGGGGATTTCTCTCTGTATGTAACTGTAAAATCCACATTGGAGTAGTCCCAATTCTCACAGCAGGTTGGTCAGTCTGAATTTGCCTTTGGTGAGGCAGCCTGGGACAAGCTTACTGTATATTCAGAGAAAGGAAGTAATGGATAAGAACAGTTGTTATCTGGGGTTATCAAGAAATGGTGTTGTGGTTTTACTATTTCTTTGGAATCACCGGCTGTAACTACTGGAGCAGTTTCCACTTTTTTTTTTTTTCAGGTGATCTGATTTGTTGAACAATAGACTAAAATGTCATATAAGCAAATTCCAGAATGACTTAGAAATATTTGTTATTCAGAAATAGGACTACTTTCACATCCTTTCACAGTTAAGAATGACATGATAGAAGTAGAGATTAAAATTCAAACCCTGAGTGTTTTTCAAAACGGGAAACATTTTGAACATATTGAAATGGGATGACCCAAACTTTTCACCACAGCATTTTGAATGGAAAGATTCTAAACCTTGTACTTTTGAAGTGGCAAAGGGGTGAAAACAACTTAAAATTTTTCTTTGTATATGAAATTGAATTTCTATTTTTGACTTTCTGAGAACCCAGAATAATATTCTAGAACAGATAAATTATGGAAGTCTTGTTTCTGAGTTTTCAGGTCCCTTCATTTTCCTTCTCTTTACTGTGGAAGGATGAGAAGTTATGTCTACACTTTCAGAAACTTTCCCCATCTCTTGTGTGTGAAGCCTATAAATTGTACATTTTCCTTGTTTAGCTAATTTTTTTTCCATCCACGAGATAAGAATTCGAAACATCCAAACCACTTGAATGTAGTGAATGCACAGCAGAAAGCAGACTGCTGATAGTGGGCTACAGAAGATGCCCCAAGGAAAGGAGGTTGAGGAGATCAGGCTGGACAGCTTTAGTTTATCATGATGTAGTACATAGCTCAGGAATTAGTCTTAATGTTTCACATAGGCAATGCAGCCAGCCCAAAATGCTTAAACATCTGTTTTTTCATACTGTGGTGTGGTTCTGTGGCACCATTGTCGACCTAAGCTAGAATGTGATCCATGTTGCTTTTCTGCTAGTTTCAAGGGACCTTCCTTTAAAGATGAGAAAAGAAAGAGAATGGTCTCTGTGCTTCTGATCTTAGGCTCTTCAAGTTTGTCTTCCCTTTTGCATGGTAGTAGAGGAAATCTCATGTTTACTGTGTGTTCTCATTTTGTTTATCATTGTTTAACTTTTTAGACAGCAATTTTAAGGGGATCTGCTGGGAGATGCTTCTCTGTTTCCAGTTTTTTTAAGAACTTTTATCCTAACCTGGTTGATAATAGGTTCAGAGATCAGTGACTAGATGAAAGTCATTCAATATTTAGCTAAACAACAACCCACCAGAAGGCCTACCTTCAAGTACAGAGATTTCAGTCAGGGATTGGTGGTCCAATCTACAACATGTCAGGATAGGGAGAGCAGACAACCAGGTGCAACTCAAACTAGTAATTGACTATTCTCTTATGACCCGTATGAACATCTCATCCTTCCATTTGTGTCCTCAGTGCAGTGAATGGTGATATAATTCTGTCTTGCTTTAATCTTATATGATGAATTAATGAGTAGCCATCACTGTATGGATGAGTTTGAATATTCTCTTTGTTTCTCAGGGGGAGAGAGGCCCAGTTGGTTTCAATGGGACTCAAGGAGACAGGGGATGTCCAGGTGCCAGAGGCCATAAGGCAAGTATGTCACTTTGAAGTGTTTCCTAATTTTGTTTTCCACAAGGCTCCTTTCTGTACTGAGGACAAATGCCTGTGCTGTCTTCCCGAAGCATGGATGGACAGCAAGACCCAGCTGTGAGAACAGCAGACAATTTTTGTTGTCTTTTTTTGAGAAGTACTTTGTATAACTGAAGCATGGTCAAATTGCTAATGAGTTTGCTGACTCAGCAACTTGCCAGTGACTTTTTCCACCACCAAATCCAGACTGGCCTTAGTTAAACCTATAAAGCTTTACATAACGGGAAAGAAAATGAAGGCTATACTGTCTTCTCACAGGAAAGGGGTCAATTCCATATGTGGCAATAGGGGGTTTTACAGTAGGGACTACAAATACTAAGCCCAGCATGCCTCTGCCCAGCAAGCAGCATGCTGTTGTGCTCTTATTATCACGCTTAATAAAAACACTTTCACCAAATTTCATCTGTGTTTATTTTCAATTTCAGGGGGCCAGAGGATATAGAGGAAGTCAGGTATGTGTTTTCATGTGTGATCAGTTTTCTTTGAGATCAGTGTTCAGCTTCCTTTTAAGTTCATATTATCTTATTGTTTGAAAATATCAGCAAGGAAGGAAAACAGTGTAAGAACTTCAGAATATTTAATGTACTTTTGCTATGGTTGTATAAAAAGGGATTTAAGTGGGCTGTTAGGTTAAAAACTGTCAGTGTTGTATTTTTAGCATGGTTGCAGTCATAGTTGATTTAGTCTGACAGGAAAGGAATTTATTTACTGGCTATTTTAATAATCTGTCAAGGTGGTAATTCTGGTCAGCTGAATCTCATCCTAACTGATGAGGAAGCAAAGCAAAAAGAGGAAAAAAAGATTGTGACTAATATTTATTACTGATTTAGACAGCATTTTCACTGAATCGTTATTGACCCTTTTTTGATATCTATCTTATCTTCAGCTGTTTTTGTCACCATTGATCTTGCAATTCTGCTTATTTAATCTTTCAAACATAGCTGTTCATCAAAGATATTGTCACCAATTCATTAATAAAATGTGAAGCCTGGAAGACAATGATCTAATATGACAATATTAGTTCCCAAGAGCAATTCAAATGAATTCAAATTGTATTGGGTGTTTTGATACAAAACCACTCCTAGAAAAGATTTAAGAGCCTCAAAGACTCAGAAGATATTTGCTTCCAGACCTGAGCAGCTGTACATGTGAGAAAGTTCAGAGGGTGTTTCTGATACCTCAGCTCTATTTAAAATACTGCTCTGTACTGACTTTTTAAATCCTCCCATGTGTTTTTCTTCTGTTTTCCATTTTCTGCTCTGTTCCCTGCAGTAATTTGTCTTCCTTTAAAATATCTGAATTACCTGATTATGGAAGAGGGAGAGTGCTTGCTAATGATTTTGACTAAGTTGAATTTTACAGTAGGACTTACTAGGAGAACAAACTCTACTGAAGTCCAATGAATATGTAAATGTCTTCACTGTGTTGTATCATTATATCCACTAATTTTATTTTCACTAAAAATATGAAGCTTTCAGCACATGAAAAATGTGATTCAATACTGCTAAATTAGTAAGGTTATGAGGCAGTTTATTGCAGTTTGCAAGGCATTTTAGTACAGCTATTTAGAGAAAAAAAGACAATACTGAATATTTAGTACTAAGTTTCGCTCAGATTTTGTGAAGCAGAACATGAGTGAGGGAAAAATGAAGGCTTGTATAAAAGTCATGATTTCTTACTGCTCAAAATTTTTCTGGAATACTTATTCAAGAAATTTTTGTTAAGTATTACTTGTACTAAAATGTACAGCCAGCTAATTTTTATTGTAGTACACAGAAAACTGTTATAAATGAATGAAAAATTTCCTCAGGAACTTTAACTAAGTGGTTTTGTAAAGTCAATATACCATCAAAACCTACAAAGCAATTGTGTCCGTAATCTCTGTCAAAGTGAGACTCTTACTGGTTTAGCTAGCATTTACAACATTCTCTTGTGCCATTTCCAGTGATTTGTTGAACATCCTTTCAGCTTTCAGGGTAGTGGTCTCCTCTGATTTAGTTTCGTACTGCAAATAAAAACATCACAGTTAATTCCTTCATTTTTATCCTAGTAAAGAAAGACAGAGGCATCACTTCAAAGTATCCTTTAAAAGTTGAGTGTGTTGTTTGGCCAGGTCTAAAACATTGTGGAGCACATATAAACGAGATAAGGTTCTAGCAGTTATAACTCTATTCAGAATCCTCACTCTTCACCTGAACAACAAATTAACATATCAAACTCCCTAAGGTTAGGATGGGTGTTTTGTGAGAAAATGGCTTCCCCAAATGGTTGCAATGTGATTTGTTTTTGCAGACAAAGGAACAAGAAGAGCAGTGTGTGTTTGAGTGGGAATGTAGCTGCTGTTTAGGTAGCAAGCATCACATTGCTGAGGCAGTAATGAAGATTCTTTAACAAGTCCTAAAGCCTAAGATTAGTCTCCTGTAATTGTTTTTATCATGGTTATTTCTTCTAGCTTTTCAACGCACTGTTCACAGTATAAAATTATTTAAAAAAAAAGAAGCACAATACACACACACATGATGGTTGACACCAGAATGAGAAGATTATCAGATACTAGTAATTACATTTTGGAATATATGTAGATTTTGAAGGCGCTGCAGTTGGGAAAAAGATCTGAAAACTAGCAGATGGAAAAGCAGAATTCAAATCCTGATTAAGATCTGTAGTTTTAATAACCATTGTTCTTATTAAGTGTTCTTAATGATTATTTGTTTTAGAAGTTAATTAATTAAAAATCTGAATTATTAATTCCTATTTTTAATTATTATTCTTGCTAGTCATCAAAACTCACTATTCTTAATCAAGTTTCCAAAAGCAGGGTGAACTCTTCGTCCCTTGCTCAAAGGGGCAAGTGGACTGATGCTAATGTTTTGTTTTGGTTTTTTTTTTTGGCTTATTGCTACAGGGTGAACATGGTGAGAATGGATTTGATGGCACTGCTGGAGAGCAGGTAATTGTTGCTTTAAATGTGCAGTGCGATTAAAGACACCAAGCTCAGGGTTCAAAAGTACAGATTTTAATGCCTTTGAATGGGCTTTAATCCTGAACAGAAATTCTGTTGTTTAGTATTTAGAGTTGCATATCTGACTGAAGCTGGATTCTGCCACACAAAATCTGGGAACCACATTTCACAGAAGGAACAACCATTAATTTTTTTTCTTGTTTCTTCACCCTTTGTGAGTCTAGGGAGAACATGGATTTCCTGGACCTTCAGGAGAGAAAGGCAACATGGGAAAACGGGTGAAGTATCCTTTATAGTAATGTTTAGATTTTATGGAAACATATTTCCAAAGTGTAATGCTGTCTGTAATGCCTGTGAGTTGTTTCTAATAGCTGCCTGTTCTCTAATATGATGTGGCTCCTGTTGTAATTCTGTGTAGCTCCACTGGCTTAAACAGATCTGTGTTCTGTTATCTGGTCTTCCTCTACCACAGATACTGTTTCTACCTGTACCCAGATTGCTTGTGCTCTTTTTATGAATTTAGGGCAGAAAAGGCCCCAGAGGAGAACCAGGTGAACGAGGAGAATCTGGTCTAAGAGGAGATCATGTAAGTGTATTCCTTCTTTTTTCTTAGGTTGCACTGATTCATGCCTGGATTTTTGTGATGTACCTGCCTGAAATATATGTGATTTGAAGAGTTTTTCACAATCCTAGATGTTGCAGTACTCTGCAAGAAGTATGGCATATTCCAGGAGTCCTGAATGCCTTAGATGCAGATGGACTGAAGCAGGTGTTTAAGCCTCAGGTCTCCTGCTTGTTTCTTGCATTTTTATTAATTTGTTTTTTTATTTTTACTGTGGGCAACATAACTCCTTTTGGAGCTATTTAGTCCTCCCTGATGGTCCCCACCCTACAGATGAATTTCTGGATCACTTGAAAACCTTGTGCACTGACTCTTTGTTAGCAATCTATAACTCTGCAAAGGCAAATTACATCTTCGTGCTGATGTATTTTTCCTTGCATGGTCCAGAGCCCTGTATAAATGTAGTCTCTGATGACTAAAATTTCAACAGAGACAACACATTTCTTGTATCACCACTTTAAGTTTTCTCACACATATTCCAAAGACATTTGTTGCAAACAGTCAAATATAGTGTTGACTCCTGTCTTCTAATGCTTATTTAAAAAGAATCAGGTGTCATGGTAACTTGCCTCTTTGAGAGATCAGGATTTCACCTGTGTCTAGCATTAAGTGGCTAAATGGAACTCCATTCTAGTGTAACCCCAACTGACACTAACTAGTTGTGATCTTGGTTAACTATACCCAAACAGCCAGAACAGCTTCACATTTTCAGAGTTTAATTTGTTGCCTATTAGTAATATTTCTTCATCTCTTTGCAAAAGAAATTGTGGGCTTTGCAGAACTTCCTATATAGTGTTGTTCCATGTACCTTCATTTAAAATAGTCTTTGTATTTTTTGTTGGCTGCAATGACAAATCTCATTTAATCCTATTTCCTTATGTTGCCCCTGCACTCAAAGTAATAAAGGTGTGGTCACTGAAAATGCTGAACTTTCTGCTTAACATTTCCAGGGAGATCCTGGGACTACCAATAATGTTCCTGGTCCGAAGGGTGAAAAGGGAAACTCAGCACGGCAGGTAAGCAAGTAGTTCTTTACTATGGAGGGAGAATTTGCATAATTGATAGGTTCTATTGGCTGTCCAGTGACTAAGCAGCTCTTTTCCTGTTTTGTATTTTGCCTTTAGCGTATGTCTGCAACACAGAAAGCTTTGAGAAGTGCTTGATAGTGTAAAAAAAAAAAAAAAGTTACAAAGACTATGGAAATATTCCAATAATATAGAGGTAAGGGAAGATAGGATTTAGTATAAATATATTATTCTACCACAAATTTGCATCACCACCCTCAGAGGCTTCTAGTAATGGGTTGTATGGATGCCATTAAAAACCATGCTGGGAAAAATGCATTGGGTATCAGCAGGCTGTACTCATTTTACTATGGGGAACTGCTGTTTCCTCAGGGTGGTGGATAAACTCCATTTTGACCTGTATCTAGAACATAAGAACTGGGATGTGTGCTTATACAGTGATATCTGAATTTTTAAGAGGTGCTTGAGTGATACTGCAAGAAAAAAAACATAACAGAAAAGCACAGCCCATTTTACCAGTGCACTTTTTGGAAAGAATAAGCAAAGATAGTAAGTAGTCAGACAGTAGTATATAAGTGATGGTAGATAAAGCTTAAGAGGGTGAGAACTAGCAAGATGCGAGAAAAATCCTCTGTTTTACAAGTTTGTGTCTGAACATGTTCAGACATGTGTGTGCATATATGTCTATGAACAGTGTGTTGAAAGCAGCAGAAAAACTGTGACGGTCACTCTTTGGAGAATAATTGTGTTTTGATGACTTTTTGGGGAAAATTTGATGATGTTTGTTTCATCTTAAGATGTCCATCTGGAAGGCTGAAGTCAACAAAAATGATTTCACAAAAGACTTGACCAAGTATCAGCTCTTAGTAATTGATGGATTGGAAATCCAAAGCAAGCATGATCTCTTTGGTTTATAATTTTTCATTGTAAATGATTTGCAGAAAGCAAGAATCAGCATTTAACATGTTACAACTGGTTGCAATGGAATTACTTAGGAGAAGAAACAAAGAATGAATGTATAAAGAATGTGTAAGTATAAGAAAAAGAAAGAGCATTTCAAGAAGTTGTTCATTACTTTGTTTTGCAGGGAGACCCAGGACCACATGGACTCCAAGGAGAGCAGGGTGATGCTGGCCCTGATGTAAGAACAGTAATCAGTACAGGGCAGAAGTAACTGATACAGTGGGGTTCCCATTGAGAAAACCAAATTTTCTCTCTTCCTTTTATGCCACACTTAAAACTCCTGCACAGAAAAGGAACATAAATCTTCTAAAATTGTCATAGTGAAACATATTTGGCTTTGAATTTAGTATCTTATGTGTATTTAGTATCTTATGTGTATTGCAATGTGTTTTGGTTTTTTTTAAAAATCAGGAATTTACCATCCTATAATTTCAGGTCTGATTCATGTAAAAGTTACAAGCCTTAAACTCAATGCAACCTTTTCTATGAGCCTTAATTGTGTCATAATTTCACCATAAATACATCTATCCCTTCTTCCTCCTTGTGACTGCAAGTTCCCAGAGCCTGTTTAAACCTATATAAAGACTGACTAGCAGATGAGCTGCCGTTTTTAATCCACTAGAGACTGGATCTTACGAAGTCACCTCTGCTAGTCTGTCAGAATAGTGCCTAATGCCAAAGTCTGGAATAATGATCACTCCTCAGTTAGGCTGCAGAAACATCCTAAAGGCCTCTAGTGATGTGAGGTTTAACAGTAATGTTCACTAGTACTGCTGAGCAGTGTGCAGTGGGAAGTGGTGCAGACCTCAGAACTCAGAGGGAGAGAAGAGGGCTCTTGTTCTTTTATTTCAGCCAAGGGGCAACTAACCTGGAAGGTGTTTTCCAGAATTTTGTTGAGATGGCTTTCCTCTGCACTCACTGAGGGTCTAAAGCCTTTTTTTTTTTTTTTTGATAAGGCTTACTTGTGTAAGAAATCCTGTCCAAAATCCACCCTTTTTTCATTGTTCTTTGGAAGTAATCTCTGCTTTCTATAACCTGTATTGGATTGTATTTTGTAATGTATTTTATTATAAACTGTTGTTTCACATTTTGCTTAGTGTTCTGGATTGTAATCTCTTATGTCGCTCCTTCCTAGGGTGCAGCTGGTCGAAGAGGCCCCCCAGGTCTAAAGGTGAGTGGCTGACACTGCTGCTACATATCTATATGCAGCTACATGTGCACCCTGAGCATTTGCCCCTCCTAAGGGAGAAATTTCGGTGTGATTCAAGACACTTATGTTTAACAATCAAAAGTCTATTTCCAGCCAAGGTAGCCTTTGGATCTCAGGTATATGTACCAGAGGCCCTCCTGACTTGAAGGATTTAGAATTGAAAAGCTTTCACTGAAATAAAAAGACAGTTACTTTTATTGTTATTGCAAATGTGGGAGTGTAAATAGAGAAGACCATTGCTAAAGATGACAGGAATGAGTAGTCAGGCTGCATTCTTGCAGCATAAGGCCAAAAGTCTGACAGTTTTTTTCCTCCTTTGCTGCCTGCACACAGGTAACATTCATGATGCGCATATGCAGCAGAGGCAAAATTAAGGCAAGTTCTAAAAGATGCTTTATGAAAATACAAACACAAATGAGTATTATTACTTGAAGCTCTGAAAATTGACTCAAAGCATATAAAAGAATCAAGATTTTGAAAACAATTTAGTTTCCCAAGTATATATCTAAGAGAATATAGTGTAGTTTGAATGCTTTTATAGGATGTAAGGAATAGGTGAACCCCAGTACATGCTGATTGATCATTCCAGAAAGATCCTCTGGTGGAAAATTCTCCCGTGTCATCGTTAGGTGGTAGCCCTGGTTTTCCTAGACTTACACCCATGAAGCCACCATGAAAGGAAACTTTCCTGAGATGTAGTTGGTAAAGATATCACAGCCATTCTCTTCAGTGAAGTTTTAGATAATGTTCTTGGAAATCTTGTTTGTCTCAGTATAAATAACAAAATATGGTTATCAAAGAAAATGTAAAAGCAGATATTTTCAAGAATGAAAGTAAAAAGATTCTAGGAACCTGAGAAAACGTAGATTTATTTATTTATTTATTTATTTATTTTTTAGGAAAGGGTAAATAAACATTTTCCTTTGTCCATCATCCTGGCAGGAGTCTATAACATCTAAAACCATGACTCCCATACATCTGCTTGCAAGATCTATCCTTTATCCTATTGCTTGCTTTCTCAAGTACAGGTTGTATGATCACCCCAGGAAACACGTTGCTCTAGTACAAGTAGTTTAAATTTGACCCAGTCTCTCTGCAGAGTTAACACAGATAAGGAAGATAATGTATGCCTTGGTATAGCGTTTCCCCTTTATCTTAGTGCATGTAAACCCAGGGAAACGTCACAATTTCATCTGTGACACTGTTATTACCTGCAGGATGGAATACATCTTGTAATTCTGCCCTGTGTTGAGGAACATAAGAAATCCATTTTTTAAGTAATTATGTAACTTTGTGCTTTCTTTTTTTTTTTTTTTTTTTTTTTTTTTTTTTTTTTTTTTTTTTCCATTTGATTACTGCTGAACTCTCTGTCAGGTACCAGCAGAAAGAAATAATCCAAGTGAGCTATGAGGGTAACAGGTCAAAAAATTTAAGTCTGTGGAAATGGATTTGTACCTTATCTTTGTTGTAATAACAAGCAGGAGAACTTGCCCCCCTCCCCCAGTCACCTACTACACAAAAAGGCTACCCTTTTGTAATGTGGTAGGGAACAAGAGAGATGACTGAACCTTGTAGCATGAACCCTTTTTTGCAGGACGAGGCCAGAGCCAAGACACACACCAATATGGTTAACAGTCATGCTCCAAACTTTATTAGAAAGCAAGTCTTCATATATTCTTGGCATGCTAAAAATAGCAGTAAGCTCTTATATACTTGTTGCTACCTTGCGTTACTCTTGTGTATGCTTATTTCAAAAAATAGCTCCCCTCCGTACTTTCCACAAACATTGCTACCCACACGCAAACCAGTAGATAAGTTCCTGCTTTTGTAATTCCAATGAGTCCCTTCTTTATCGGTTTCTTCCTTAACAAGCACTTTCTTTTCTGAACCTCATAGCAAAAGAGAACTTCCAAACTGTTTACATTTAAGTACTTGATGACCAGCTTTAACTTCTAAAAGCATAACAAGAACCATCTGTGTGGGTCAGTAGGCATTGGAAGCTAGGTCCCAACACATGTTCAGAGCACAGTTTGTGTAAATAACCTGTACGCTGAAGAGGTGTAAAAAGTGAATGCCAAAGAGAACTGCCCTCTTCTGTCTTCCACATCTCCTGGAGGAACTAGATGGAATGTAAACCCTTCAATATGACACTGGCATCCATCCTTGTGTGAGATTTTGGGTACGGTGTCCTCCCACCGGGATCTCTTGTATGGCAGGGTGTTGCAGAGCTAGCACAGCCTTCTTGGCACAAGGTGTGAGAACTTCACTGTGCAGGCTTCCTGGTGTCCCAGGGCCGGGAAGAACTGTGCCGTCCTAATGTTTGTAGGGTGTTTAAGGCCTTTCTGTGGAATGCAGGATCCAGCTCTAAGGAAATATGATACAGCCAGTCCTTCTGGAGAGGAGAGTTTTGTGCTGGAGTGGAATAGAATGGCAATGAATCCCCTTTTCAGACAAAGATAGGTATTGGTGGTGATGTACTCAGAGAGAAATAATCAAATTACAGGCAGTCAGCCAGAATTTACCCAGCTAATGCTTAAGGACTTGTAATGGGTTTAGCTGTTAATAAAAGGCACTGAAATAACTCTGTCATCAACAAAAAGTTGTTAACTTCCCTTCCAGTCATCACGAACACACCACTTTTCATCATATCTTGAAAAGGACAATTTTCCAGGACTTCTAGTTCCAATTATCTGTTGCTTTTTCTGATAAAAGGGAGACTAATTTTTTGAAATAGCTTAAAAAAAAAAAAAAAAAAAAAGCACAGCCATTCTACACAGTCAGTAGTAGTCTGTGGGCAGAAGGATCAGAAGGTGTGGTGTAGCCTGAGAGTAACAGACAAGGATAACACTGTGTTCCGAAAGCAAAGCAAAGCAAAATACTGAAGACACAAAGGAGAATAAACTAAAGGAACACATGACAGAGAGGAAAAAGAAGAGGGTGGTGGTGGTGGAGAAAAAGGAAGAACTACTCTTCTGGGTTTGATTCAAAGTTAAAGTAGCTGAAAACTTTCTATTGGTTTTTGATTCCAGTAGAGTGTGCCTAAGAAATTTTTTCTTTTACTTTGCAGTCAAAGTGATTTTTGTCAAAATTATTTCTATTTGATTTTTTTACAGCTGGCATAAACTTGGCATCATTCTAGTAACTGATTTTTCATTTTACAGTATTTTTACTGTGGCTACAAATAAGTCTGCTAAAATGCCTTTTTTTTTCTTTTTTTTTTGCTATTGCTATCTTTCATTTCATTCATATGGTGGGGAATGGAAGTTCAGTCTTTTGAATGCAGTTTTCCTCAGGAGATTTTTTCCAGAACCACCTGTTTCCCAAGAATCTTCAGACATACGTTTATAATTTCTCCAGTGAAAGGAGATCTCCAAGGTACTAATTATCACAATTTTATTCAATCAAGCAGACAGCACATATTTCTTATGGATGTCAGTCAAACTGGCTCATCCTCAGATAGCAACTTTATGTAGGTGGGAACTGGGAAAGGATTTTTTTTTCCATCATCAAGGAAGATTTGACTTACCTCACTGAGTAACCAGAGTGAAAGATGGGGAGTATAAAGACATCTAATCCTAGGATGAATTGTGAAGTCATGGTTTCCCCTCAGAGTAGTTCTCCATGGATAACAGTGAAGAGGCTCTGGCCTCGTGGTTCATGCTTCATGACTTCTCATGGGCTCTGCAGTGGACAAGTTTAATGCAGAAATATTGCGGAGACCATGGTGTAAAATGCAAAGCAGATAGAACAGACCTCTTGCACTTCAGCTTTCATATTCATCATGCACTCTAAAGAACAAAAAAAGCTACTCGACTCTTGTTTTTTAATTGAGTTTTCTTCAACAGGAATTTGAAGCTGCTTGAAAGCTGTTTGGGAGCATTGAAAAACATTTTATAAACTGAAACTGTGCAGATATTAAGTTATTATCTGTTGATGTACATATGACAGGTGTTAATTTGTTTGGTTTGGTGGTTGGTTTTTTTGGTTTTGTTCTGGCAGGGTGAGCAAGGAGATCTGGGGGAAGCAGGTTACCCAGGAAACTCTGGTCTTCCAGGCCCACAGGTAACTAAAAGAACTTCTGAGTTGTTTTTATATTAACTATGGAGAAGGTGATTTGTCTGTCTTGATCTCTTGTTCTTCTGTTGAAATAATTTGTTTACTTCAACTTGTGAATATCATGAGTAAAATGCTTCCTTGGCAAATCTCTGTAACCCTATAGAATTAAATGTGGCAGGTTTCTCTTTTGGTTTATGTGGGTGCAGCTTCTAGTGAAATGAAAATAGGAAAGTGAATAGCAGAAATAAGTAATTTAACCAACACATCTCTAGCTTACAGGATATTATCAAGCAGATATCTTCAAAATGAATTCATTAGAAATTGCTAGCAATAAGTGCATAAAACCTATTGCACTTTTGAGTGTACTGTGCTTACAGCATGCATTAAATTATGAAAATAATATACTGATTGACAAAACCAATGAGGAAAGCTTTGTGTTTTAAAAATTTGCTCGGTGGAATCATTTTGAAGAGAATTATCATCATAGACTGCTTACAATAGCTTCCAGTTTTAAGATGCTCTTAAATGCTCTAAAGATGCTCTTAAGTTTTAAGATCTAGGCATCTGGAGAAAGTGTGCCTAGTTGATATGCTCCCTCAGTATCTTAGACCACAGTGACTCTCTGAATATGGTCCTCAGGCAGTGACCATCTCAGCTGTGCCACAAAGGCAAATCCTTACAACCAAACAGACAGAAGTTTCACCTGTGCATTAAGGCTTGTGAAACAGACACTTGGATTCTGGTCATTGCAACAATCCAATCTTCGTTGAAAGGCTATCAACATTGAACTGACTTTTTTTTTTTTTTTTTTTTTTTTTTTCACATCAGGGCCCAAGAGGACTACAAGGAAGCAGAGGACCTCCAGGACCACAAGGCATGCCAGGCCCTCTGGTTAGCTTTAAATAATATATTGTGCTGTACACATTAGGGCTTTTCATTCTCAGCATTGATATTATTCTTATAAAGAGTTTTTTTTTAAAAGAAATTTGTAGAAAGAAGAAATGGAGGATTTTTCAGTGTAGTACTTAAGGAAACATTTGCAACCTCATATGATAAAATAACAGCCTTAAAAATAAGTTTAGGTGGGTGAATAGGAAGTGAACTTCAGCATTACCAAGATTTTTGCATGAGTGCACAGAAAAGCCTTAGCTCTAGATTACACTTTCAGTTCTGTAGTACCAGGACTATTACCATGGCTTGCAACATGTATAAATACAAATGTATGGTGGTGTAGTTGAGAGCAAAGTTAGATAATGATCAGGTAGTTCCATTAAAGCATGGCCTGTGAGGTTTAAAGCTAGGGTATGATGATGTGGTATCTTTTGAGCACTGCCTGCTGATCTTCTCACTCGTGTGATGCTGTTGATTTTGGGGGCTGATTTTGGGTGTAACTCAGGACTACAATGTCCTACTCTGTCAGTCTTGGCCATCTGCTTCAGACATGTAATGATGCTCATGCTTACACACACATTTGTATGTGTGTGTGTGTGTATATATATATATATATATATATTCATATTGTTTGTGCAACTGTGCATGTATTCACTAGGAATCTATGTAGACAGAAAATAACATTCATGTCATACTTAATAACATTTTGAGAATTTTAAAGAAGTCATAAAGAAAACATGCAATAACTGGGATGATAGCTTGATCAGGAACTCTTACTGTCCTCCTCAAAAGCCTGTTAATGTGCTAATATTTCTACCGATTCTGTAATAATTTCAAGTGGCATTGAATCTTTGAGTGCAGTGAGCCCTTGATTTCTTCATTGTGCACCTTTTAACTGATACTTCTGATTACAGGCTAGTCTGGGGGCTCCGGGTTCACCTGGCTCTGTTGGAAAGTTAGGTGCAAGAGGAGCAAAGGTAAAAATTTTTAAAGTACCTTATTGTAGCAATCTAATAGTATCATTCATTCTAGAATATGACTGAAGGAGCATGAGCTAACACTTGTGTTGTTCCTATGGAATGTGTGAAGAATGTTAAGTTTTATAGACACTTTTAGACTGCATGGGAAGTCAAATGATGTGTTCAAGGTAATCTTGCAGGTATTGGAGCTATACTAAGAAGTTTTTAGTGTTGCCATGACTGCTGTTCTAATCGCTGTTGTGGTCATGGTTCTCAGTGGGGCCTGGCTTCTCACCAAAAGCAGTAGAGATAAGGCAGTGCTGACCCTTGAGCTTGTTTTATGATTCCTAGAATCTGTCCAACCCATTGAAAATATGTACCAGGTAATCATAGAATCATAGAATATCTCCAGTTGGAAGGGACCCATGAGAGTCATCGGGTCCAACTCCCTGCTCCTTTCAGGGCTGCCTAAAACTAAACTGTATGACTAAGAGTGTTGTCCAGATGCTCCTTGAACTCTGACAGACTTGGTGCTGTGACCATTCCCCTGGGGAGCCTGTTCCAGTGTTCAGCCACCCTCTCGGTGAAGAACCTTTTCCTAACATCCATGCTGAACTTATCAGTTCAGTGAAGCATAGTTGCTATTTTAACCTTTTGTTCTAAAGATTCTTAACGAGTTCAAGGAACCTTGGCTGTTACAGTGTCTATTGTACAGGAACGAATATCTTGAGAACTGAATCAACATGAAGTTAAACAGGAAGTCTTATACTAATAGGTGGTCCACATTATGGTTCACTTATAACAAATGTTATCCCTTACTTTCATTAATGTGAGATTTACTTTATTTAATCAAAACAACTCATTTTAGGTGTTGTTGCATCTTTGAATCTAAAAGGCATAAGTAATAACAGTTAGCTAATCTTTTCAGTCTCTTTGAAGGGTTATTACATTCAGTGACAGAGAGGTACCAGAAGGTCAAAGTGCTACTATGAAAAGAGTCACTGTGTGAAAACATACGGTGAAACACTGACAAAAATTGGGAAGAGGCATAGGAATTTAATCCATCATACATTCCATTTTCTCAGTCTGGTTTTGTGCTTTTTAATATTGGGGTTCTTGTTAGAAGAAAGTTCATTAAGAAAGTGAGAACTAGAACATGAACTGAAAAAAGGAAAACTTGCAAGAGAACTAAGAGCACAGTGCAGACAGCTTGCCTGAGAAATATTATCTTCTATCAGCTAGTGCTTCAGGCTGGTAGAATTTCAGGTTATGTCCTGATACCATTAATATAAGTTTTTCCAGAAAACACTCTTCACTGGTAATTCTATATAACAATGGGGGTTTTCTTGAATGAAGGCCTTTGGGGTTTAGCTGCATGAATGCTCAGCTTATCCTGATTTGCCAAGTGCTTTCCAGTTCCACTGCCAGGAACCTTCCATGAGACACGGTCTGTAATGAAATGCTTTCAACTGGCATCAAGTAGTTCACAAAATGTATAAGCATACTTCAGTCTAGCAGACAAGTTTACATTTCAGAAAGAATTCTCCTGAATGAGACAAACTAATGCCTTTTATGTTTCAATTATAACAGGGTGAACCTGGTGACCCGGGAGAGAAGGGCCCAGTGGGACCAGCTGGATGGAGAGGCAAGCCTGTGAGTCTTTCTGCCCTAATTCAGGGCCCCTGTAGTTTAACTCCCATCCAACTGAATCAGTACAGTTCATTCCCTTCTATTTTCTCTATTTGATACTATTAAAACTATTTCACATTTTGTTCTCAGTTTCCTTATGGACTCCAGATTCCTTGTGGGCTAGAGAGAATATCTTTCCCTTTAGGTTTTCTGGGACAGAGAGAATATGCTATGGGTAGGGCACACAGTGGGGAAGAATTGTGGCCTTGATCCTTGTTTTCTCTCTACAGATTTTGCTACCACTTGCTACTGGTTTTGAACTGTGTTGTGATAACTTGTTCTGTTTCATCAGTCTTAGCAGCCTGGGTACCTCGTTGTAACAGGATGTCTTTATTCTGAAATGGAACTAGATGTAAATCAAATCCTCTATTAAAAACTAATTCATGATATATTCAACCTGTGCAGGGCATGGATGGCAGAGATGCCTACGGTCCTGAAGGAAGCAAAGGAGCAAAGGTGAGTGCTTAGAGTCAGGATGTCTCACAGCCTTCATTCTGCAGTGTCAAATCAAACATCACCATTCGTAGTTGATTCAAAAGCAATGTAAGACACAGCCACAGTGCATTTCTGAGTTTCAGGAAGAGGCTCAGGCTTCCCATGACCATCCTTACAATAGGATATTCTTTTGAGAACCACTCTCTCTTACTCTTTCCCTTGATGTATGTATATGGATTTTGGGGATTGTACTTGGAGTACACAGTGCTTTCTCCTCACTTCAGTCAGCTTGACTAGCCACTCTTTTGGGCAAGCATTGGTGGGCCAGCCACTTTGGACTCTTAATTTTTCTTTCAGAGGAGGAATTCCTTGACTACTAAGGTGAGGGTAATACTCTTCAAACATCCTCCCCGTTTTAATGTGAAATATTCTTGTGCTCCTGTGGTCAGCAATAAGCTCTGAGGAATAACCTCTGGATAGCTACATATTTAGAAGTTCTCATAATTCCCTTCGCAGCCCTGAAAAAAATAGCAGTGAAATGCCTACTTCTCTAAAAACATACAAGAATCCAGCTAAAATAAAACGTATGCAGAAACGATGAGGTCAGAATCATGGTACCAGTGACATCAGTGGGTCAGTTTGTGAGCAAAATGGTCAGGATGCTGGAAACTGCTGCAGTCCTCCTTTCAAAGAGTTTGTGTAGTGTTACAGTACTAGTCCTCTCCTGATGCTTGTGAAAGAGAAGTGGCTCAGTGGATCTCACTGGAGGCCTATCTGTTTCACTCTCCCTTTTTGTGGGAGAAGCAGAGTACTGTAGAAAAGGCATGTAAGGCTTCCCAGGAGCCTCTCCAGCAGATGAGCTCCTTTTTCTAAAATGTTTTTTTTATTAAAATGACTCTTGATGCTTCTTATTATCCAATCTCTTTCATTACCTTCTTAGCCCCAACAATTTCCTTTCATGGGTGAGTTTCACAGGTTACATATGTTATATGCAAGACTAGTTCTTTTAATCTTTTCGAATTTCCCACTTGGTCATTTCAGGGAACATCCTCTTTGTTACAAGAAATGAGAAAAAAAAGCTTTCTGCTAAAACTTCTTGTTATTATTCATTGTTTTAAAGGATTGACTTAAAGCCTTTTTTGTATACTGATGTGTCTGCCACGGTTTTGCAGGGCTTGAAATAAAACAATAAATAAAAACAAGCAAACCCCCAATTCAACACAGAATAGTGATCCAGAAAGAGTTGGTTTACCCTGATAGCTAAGAGAATAGCCTTTAGTATAGGTTTTACTTAAGGTTTCTATTAATTATACAAGTTTACAGCCACATTACACTCTCTTAGATGTAATGTGGGACCTATGTGCATGTAATTTTCTGGCAATTGTAGGATAAGGTCATATGATATTTGACAAGCATGTCCACCTTCTCTAGAAGGAACTTTTAAAACAAGGACATACATTAAGTAGTGTGAATTCTGACAGTTACTCTAATGTCACTTAAAGAAGCAAGTTCTAATATGCCAACAAAATACTATGGTATCACTATTTAGTATGGAGGGTACAACATTTTGAAACTGCATTCGGACACTGAGTTATCAATGTTATATTTATGCTTATTGATCATGAATTCCACTGTATGTTACTCGGATGCATAAATAAGTTTTGATAAAAAGCTTATTTGAGAAATGGAATACTCCTGAAAATTCAGAAACTTGGAAATTTTTAAAATGCTCTTCCTTTAAATGAACAGGGTGTTAATCTAAAATGGTGTCATTTGAGACCAGAGTAGTAGCCACTGTTAGTTGAGCATGCTGTAATGCTAAGAATAATTGTGAAATTGGTTTTGGTTTTAAGGCATCAAATGCTAAGTATATCACAAAGTTCTAGATTCTTATTAAGTCTTTGTCCTTTCTTTTGGTAGGGAGAGTCTGGATTGATAGGATATCCTGGTCCAGAGGTATGATTAAATGGGCATGTTTACTTTCTTTATGTCTTATTTTGCATTACTGTGGTTATCTGTCTTTCTATCTGTCTTCTCCTTTCCTATGAAGTTTTGGATTTCATTAATTTTCAGGGAGAAGATGGAGAGCCAGGCATTCCAGGAGCTGAAGGACCCAAAGGAGTTAGGGGTAGAAGAGTAAGGATGATAAATCTTTTAACTCTGTGAAGACATCTATAAGTAAAGCCCTTATGTCTTATGTGTTTCCTCACTAAAAATGTTTGAAATTGATTCCCACTCTGATCTTTTATTGCCAAATCCAGGGGAAGAGGTCTTGAGAAAATACAGGTCTAAGTCTTTAGAGATATTAGTTGTTAATAATTCTTAGGGGTAGTAGTCTATGTAAATGCAGGATCAAACTCACAGTTTAGTTATAGAAGTTTTTCCTCTTCTGAAATTCTGCACCTGTGTGGGCAACTATAAAGAATAAAACTTGTGTTTCTGTTTTTAGGGTAATGCTGGTACACCAGGTTCCCTGGGAGATCCAGGGGACCAAGGGCCATCAGGACCTGTGGTAACATATTTTTATTTTAAAAAGTCACTCTTGGATTGCTGTTAAACTTGCTATTAGACTAATGGAATATTTAATAATGTTTCATGTGGTAAACTGTGCGTAATCAGTCTGGCAGTTACATCTTCCTTGTGGGTGTGTGCACAAGAGCACCTGCTGTTGGAAATGAAACTGCAACGATACAATGCAGGACAGAATTTCTTCCACAGTACTTGGTATTGTCTCTAAAAAAGAAGAGAGTACTAAACTGTAGAACTGGATTGTTCTGCAGAAAGTCAATGTCTTTTTCATTTAAAAAGCCATTTAAAATCAGACTTGCAATTGCAGGCATGCACTTAAAGCTTAAATTGACTGTAACATGCTAATCCTTATAAACAAGTAGATATCTTGATGTATTTTTGTGTATATGTACTTTTGTGTGTTGTACTTTTCCAGTGTCTGTGATCTGCATTTTATACCACAAAAAGTTTTATTCTCTAAGCAGGGAAAAGGATTGTGGATTTCAGTAGGGTTTAGGACTAACACTGTAGGCAGTTGGGAAAATCCCTGTATGTGTCTATTTTATCTTGCAGCAGTTCTGCAAATCAGCTCCATAGTGACCAGAAACAATCCCTACTGTTAATTATTTTCTTGTTAAACTTTATTAAGCCTACTCTTTCAGTTTAAATGTTGAACATTATTGATAACAGTATCTTTACTTGTATAACATGGGCCATGGGATACTTGCAACTTAAAAAACAATTTAATTTTTTTTGTCATTACACTGTGCTGGTCAATGAATGTACCTGGACCACTTTATTTTATGATGCTGGGCACAAGAATGGCCAAGAGTGTCTGCTGGAATGCATTGCCTTCCCTGCTGCTTGGCTGCTCTCATACGTTAAAAGACAGACCTTGTATGCTGATGAGTCCAGCTGTTGGCTTTGCCAATCCATGTTCAAGAAGTCTTCAGAGAGATTTTAAGCTCAAGATCTCCTCTTTAGACGTAGAATTGAGAGTGGAGCCTGAGAGGTATGGGCTTGGTAGGATTGTTGTAGTAGCAGTGCATCAGTGAAATGGAAAAGTGGGAATTCTATGGGAAGTGGAAGAGATAGGGATGAAGGAAGAGGTACAAGTAGTAGGCAGGGCCAGACAAAACAGGCCTGTTTTACCCATCCTTCCTAACTTAGTGGCAAGATTTATCCCTGTGGGTCAAGTCTGCACAGCTCAGTCACCACCACTAAGCTGCTGCAAAAGCATTCATTAAGGCTCAGGCAATTCACAGTTAACTCTTACTGAATGGTACAAGAGAAGAACGGAGACCTACTGGGAAATGTAAGAAGATAAAAGCATGGAATGGCTGTGATGGTGCTAGCAGCAAGACAGCAGAGGAGACAAGGAGGGTAGCTCAGGTGGGAGATGGAGGCATGGAAGGTTAACTGCAGGGGGAAAAGCTGAATATGGAGATGAGGTTGTAATTTGGGGATGTGAGGAGGTATATGATTTTGGCAAACTGTAGTGTTATGGTAGAGAGAGAGGCTAAGGTAAAAGTTGTGGGATGTGGAGTTCAAGTTTTTCTGGTATATCTCATAGCAGCCCCTTGCAAGTAAGTGAAAATTTTCAGTAGTCTTGCTACACATCTGAGTTGCACACATGATGAAAACTCTTAAACTGCCTTGAAAAAAGGTTATTTTCCCTGTATTTTGTTCCAATTGCAAAGATTAAACAATACTTTTATTTTGAAAAATAAGGTACTTGGAATCCTGGCATTTGCCCACAGCTCCCAGGGAAAAGGCTGCAGAGTAGCCAAAGCTAGCTAGACTGGTTGAGCAGTCATGATGTATGTATGGTCTGCAGGATTTTACCCTGCAAGAGGAGAAGGCAAGCGTATCACATGTCAGAGGTCAAAAAAACCCGTAAGGTGCAGATTACTGAACCACAGACAGAAATTGCTGTTTTGAAAAGAAATCCAATTCTGAATTATACTGGTCCTCAAGGGCAACAAGTATCAAACATTTATAAAACCATAAAGGAAACTGGACTGAGAAATAGGTCTGAGAAGTAGTCTACAACTCTGTTTGGAACAGGTCCACAGAAATCTGTGCTGAGACCTGATGTCTCCTCATCATTCACGTTCACAAATGGTTGTCAGGGAAGCACTGTATGCCTGCATTCTCTTTGGGCTACAGAATAATAGATGGGAATACATTATCACGGTCTGATTTTCTGGACCTATGTTTAATCTGTTTCAGGGTGCCAAGGGACCAATGGGCACCATTTTAATGGAAGTAAGTAATCACCTTACAGCTAACTGCACACTGCATGGAATTAACAGTTTTAGCCTTCCATTTATAAGCACTGAGTGTAGTGATCACAATTAGCTGTTATAAAACAGTATCCTTTTCAAATACTTGTCAGAATGCAGTGGGTTCTTCTGTTCTGCACATAATCAAGTAATGAGAAACAATTATGCATATGGATTAATGTCATGTCCAAACTTTTACAAACTGTTAGATCATTAATATTCCTTTATCTGTTTCCGTATTCACATTAGTTTACACACCAGCTAAAGTTTAGGGTTACTTTTTAATCCTCTTGTAAAGGCAGGCATTTCCTCAGCAACAGCTGTTTTCACTGGGAATAGCAGGGCAGGATTTGCTCAGAATCCTGATCCCATGTAAAACAAACACTTCTGAGTAAAGGCTTCATCTAACCCTTGGACAACACCCGCAGGTGTGTTGTGGGTCCTCTCCTCCTTTGTGGACCTCACTTTTGTGAGTTGGTGTTGAAATGCCCATTCTCCTATGGAAGTGCCATTGCCTGATGACCTCCTAGATCAGATTATTACACAAAATAAAGAATGGATAGCTGACTGCTTAATACACCAGAGCATGATTAAATGCCAACAGAGCATGTCTGCAAATATCCCTGAGTTTCTGCAGCAGGAGCAGTAATTGAAATAGAGAGGAACTGGCATGTGTGAATCTGGATTTATTGTAGTGAAAGTTAGTTGAGGAGCTGCAATATGACCTTCAGCTCAAACCAACAGTAAGATTCCCAGTCTGGGATTTGCCTTTAATTGCCTTTTTTTTTTTTTTTTTCTCCTGCAGCCTTGTGAACTTGTGAATTTTACACGAAAAAACTGCCGTAAGTAGGCAGTATCTTCTTTTACCTCTGATTCCACCTAGTTACTCTTCTCAAATGGAATAGCCTCCATTGGAAACCCTGTAGGCTGGTAGTTTGTGTCTGGGTTCAATTTGATGATGACTGGTAGTTATTAACTATGAGGGTTTTATTCAGTAGGTGTGTGAAGCAGGCTTATGCTTTTTGCTTATTTTACCTATCTTGTAATTACAAAAGCTGTAATGAATGTTTCTGTTCCTCATTTAAGATTGAATTTGGCATTATGCCAACCCCCTTTGGAGAATTCTCTGAGAGAAGACAATATTTATATATCACCTGACCACTAGATTTGGAGTATTCATTCTCTGACTTGTGTGCTCAGCAGAACCCAGAACAGTTTCTTTAATTCTCATCCAGTAAAACTGCACTATTTTGAGATTGTGTAAGAGGAGCATTGTCTCTCACTGACAGATTCTGTCACTTGTCTGAGCTTTGAATCAGGCTCTTTAGTGAAAGCACGTGTATATATCACTATTTTAATGAGTATGTGTCAAAAATAATTTATTTGCTCTCCAACTCTTCATTCCAGCTTGTTCATCAGGTAAGTCCACCTGGCCTCAGCATGTCCTTTTTTTTTTTTTTTATAGACTTGAAGAAAAAAACTAACAATGTTTGAGTTGTGGAAAGGTTCTCACATACATTTTTTTTTTAATTATTATTTCAACATACAGACACATGTCCAGTTTATCCAACTGAAGTGGTGTTTGCCTTTGATATGTCTGAAGATGTTACACCAGCTGCATTTGAAAGGATGAGGACCATTGTTATGTTACTGCTGAAGACCATTAAGATCAGTGAAAGCAATTGTCCAACAGGTGCTCGTGTGTCTATTGTTTCTTTCAATACCAATACACGCTATCTCATCCGATTCTCAGATTTTCAAAAAAACAACTTGCTGCTACAAGCAATTCAGAGAATACCACTAGAGAGATCCACTGGAAAACGTAATATTGGGGCAGCCATGAGATTTGTTGCAAGAAATGTCTTCAAACGTGTTCGTCAGGGCATCCTTGCAAGAAAAGTTGCCCTGTTTTTTGCCAATGGTCCATCGCAGGATGATGTTGCCATCAGCACAGCTGTACTTGAGTTGAGTTCCTTGGACATCACTCCAGTGGTTATTGCCTTCAGTGAAGTGCCAAATATCAGACGTGCCTTCTCAGTAAGTGGACTATAGAAAATTGAGTCAGTCACCCATTTGCTTAGTGTCTGCTAGTGTTTGAGTAAAGCATGCTCTTGAGCCCCTAAATTCTACAGGAACTGTCCAATCCCTTATTAGTAACTAATATACCCCTTTTCATTTTAACAAAGAAACACTGATTCACTTGACCATAATGATCACCATCTGACCCCTTTCTGCACATGAATTATTTATGACTTGTGCTTTTAGGCCAGATCACAGAATTTCAATAACATTGTGTTAATTCCACTTGGTTACCTATGCCATTTATCTTTGGAAGTTTCGACATGTACTAACCACTTAATTAACAAACTGTGGCCCTAGTTTCTAGAAAAAGTAGTAGTAGAAGGCCTCAAGTACACCAGGTTTTTTTTCAAAATAAAATGAAATTAAGCAAACCTACTTTTGATAGCTGTATTCCCATTAGTACAGGAGAAAAATTATAACTTTTGTTTTAAAATATGACTTCAAATATAAAAAATAATAAACAAAAACCCCAATCTATTTAACCAGGTACCAAAAGAAAACAATTCTAAGTTTCTTTAATGTTTCATAATATGAGTACCAGGTTGCCTCTCTTTTCAAATTATTTTTGTATCATCTGTGCTCAGTTTTAACTTTTTCAAATCAAAACCCTTCCAGCTGCTGTTTCTTCAAAATTATCCTTTGGAAGGAAACTGTATTTACTTACATGTGACAAGAAGAGGAAAACTTGGAGGCTAAATTCTGACCTAGTAGCATCTAAGTCAGCCCTTTAATCTTCATATTATATTTATTCTCATGCAGTCTCATATTAGTCAATTCCCATATTTGTCAAGCTGAATGTTAATTTAGTGGAATGAAAAAATTCTGCTGGCATATGAGAAGGAAGCTTATAGTTTATTCACTGTGTTGCTCCACAGGATAAACAGGAGCAAGCGTCAGTATTTTGCTTACTTAGTATAAGCAGATTACGAATCCGAATGCATATAACAACATCTGGTATTTACAAAGGTGCCGACTTTCCATAAATCAGTTTTCAGAGTAGAAAATTTTAAAAAAGCTGCTTAACAGGGGGAAAAGGCAAAAAATTCACTGCCCAGATCTCCTTTAGGGTTCCACTGATGGAAAGACAACCAACTTCACCACAACCACCCCCCAAGAAAATACAACTTCCCTTTCTTTCAGATGGACTTCTGCCCTTGCACTTGAGAGGTGATTTAATCTTCATGACCCTATCAGCCTGTAGCCACAGATACTTACTGGCTTTGGTTAGTTTGCTTTAGGAGCCTCAGTTCAGAGATGAGTTAGTCATTGTCAATTCTAATTGCTTTGAAGAGGCCTATATCTAACATCCTGTACAGACATTGATCAGAAGTTAATTGTGTTGTGTTTGTATATAACACACATAAAGCTTAAGTTTAATGAAAAGAAGTTATTATCTCTTTTCTCCCCATTTTGGCTTCTCTGTATATATGGTTTGTTTCCTGCAACATTATGATATTTTACAGCCATTCTTATTTATCTTGGTCCACAAGGAAATTTTTTTTTTTTTTTCCTTTGAATCATGTTTGGATGGGGTTGAGTGGTCAGTGAAATAGTAGGATGTTGTTGGAGCTTCTTCAGGGTTCCTCAAGCATTTCTGTGGTCAAATCTTCTACTGGGCAAGATTGTCTTTCTTCAACTGATCACAGGCTGAAGACTGTTCTTATGCTAGCATTTTCTTTCTCAAGAAAACATTTTCACTGTGGAAGATTTCTCTTTATCCCAGAAAGAGTGGAGATAGGAGATCCTGTCCTTTTCTCTGTAACACCCTACTGATAAAAGAAAAAAAGTGATAGACCTTCACTGGAGAGAAATTAAAAAAACCAACAAAAAAGGTCAATGTATTTTACCTATGCTTTGCCTATCTTTTTAATGTTGCTTTTGTATCTGTTTTAAAACATAGATCGATGATACTAGAATATTTCAATTATTTGTCTGGGAGAGACAACAGGATGAAAGTTTGGAGAGCATCACATATTGTACACTTTGCTTCGGTAAGATATTTTTAAAATTCCAGCTGTTGTATTGGTCCTTTTACTCTTTCAATAACAAATCCTGGAGATTTTATTTTGCAGTGTATTGGGGAATTTTTATGGTACCCCTTAAACACATCTGTGCTTAAATATATATATATATAAAAAATAAAGTAACAAGCAATGCATTGGGCAGAGTCCTACTGCCACAAGTGGGACTACAAGTGGTCCGCAAAGATGCGTTAAGAGCTAATTCCTTACGTATACTTGCACCAGCACCAATACCATCAGTGGTTGCATGGGGCAGCTCAGACCAGCTCTACTGCCCAAAGGTGGCCACTGGGTGCTCCCACTCCAGGATGGCTACAAGACAATGCAGTGTTTGTTTCTTGTCATTGCCAAGAGAAACTTCACTCCCTTACAGGGAGTTGTTCTGTCTCTGGAATTCCTGTTTCCAGCCAGTTTAACCCTTTCTGAAATAGGGTTGTCTTGCTCTCCATGCCAGGTTGTTCCTTGGTTACAGTTTACCACTGCTGAGAAGTTACAATTTGAATTTCCCCTTCAGTGGATGGTAAGAATTAGAATCTCAGACCCACAAAAGCTGTTTAATTAGTTGTCTCAGCCATGTGAAATGAATCATTGTGTTTGGCACTTCCTTTTTAACAGAAATGTACTTAAAATAGCGTTATGATTCTGGGAAACCAGGATCATTTACTGTAAATTTTTACTGTAGTTGTGAACTGTCAATGTTATGTTAATAGTTGGACTAGGTGATCTTCAAGGTCTTTTCCAACCTAGGTGATTCTGTGATTCTGTGAAACTCTACATTGTGACGGGGGGAGAAGCCACTAAATTATAATATTTCAGAACTCTGAACAGTGGTCTGAGATGAAAACTAGAGGTTGTTGCAGTGTCCTTTACAGTGTTTAGATTTTGACAGAAGAAAATTCCTCGAGGGAGCTCTTATCTGTTAAAGTTTTACCTTATGAACATTTTTTGCTCTTACGCCTGAATAATTTCCCATGGTATCTCAAAACCCTGATCAGAAAGACTTATCTGATTTTCCCTACTAGAACAACAAGATTTCAGGTTACCAAATAGATTTTTTTAAAACCAAAATTTAAGAAAAATAAAATAGATGAACAGGACTGTGTGAATTTTTTTCCTGAACTTTTGCTTTTGTTGTATTGCTAAATAGTTTGCTGCCTATTGGCTCTTCCTCTCTAGACAAATGCAAACCAAGTACCAACTGTGAGGTGCCCTTTTCTCCTGCTGTTCAGATGGATATGGATATCACTTACATCATGGACAGCTCTCGTAGCATCAGCAGTGAAGAGTTTCAGAGAGCCAAAGACTTTGTGAGCAACATGCTGGATCAGTTTGTCGTTTCCTCACAGCCAAACGACTCTTATGGAGGCATCAGAGTGGCACTGGTGCAGCAGGCTCCCAGGGGCTTCTTGCCTGACAGAAACCAGACCCCTGTGGCCTTGGAGTTTGATCTAGTCACATACAGCAATAAAGATTTGATGAAGAAACATATCCAGGAATCTGTTCACCAACTGGAAGGGCCATCAGCCATTGCTTCTGCCCTACAGTGGACGGTTGAAAATGTATTCTTTAAAGCCCCCAGACAAAGAAAACACAGGGTCATATTTTCAATAGTTGGAAGCAAAACAAGCACATGGGACAGAGAGAAGCTGAGAGAGATTTCACTTGGAGCCAAGTGCCAAGGATTCACATTGTTCACTCTTGCGCTTGGCAGCGATGTGAGTGACAATGAGCTGATGGAGCTGTCAAGCTCCCCCACAGACCAGCACTTACTGACATTGGGCAGGGTTTCGACATCTGAGATGGTGTATGCTCAGAGGTTTAGCCGGGCATTCCTAAATCTTCTACAACGTAAGTAGCACACAATGGCGTTTGCTTAAGTTATGAAAAGCAAGAGGAATGCTGCGTAGGAGAAGGTAGTCAGTATGTATGCACTATCACTCAGTTTCAAGTCACAATTTAGCTAGCCAGTCTTTCATCTTCAGTTACCACAGATGCTGGACAGTAATGAAAGGGCCAGTAATGACAGAACAGCATTATATTCTAATGGTGCCTTAGGCCAAAGGCTTAAGTAGTTTTTTCCCTCAGGTTTCTATTTAACGTGTGGCTTTGGCCTCACTTTCACTAAAGACAGACCATTCTTCAGTGAAGAGAACAGTTATGTTCCTGATTTAGGTCTACGTTTTTCCTCTTACTATTGGCAGGTCTAGATTTACTGAGCTGTTTATGCCTGTTTAGACTTCAGGTCAGATACAAGTTTAATCATTTAGCAAATCTGGCATTAACTGGCTACTGTAATTATTCCCCCTCTGTAGGGCAGAGAAAGAACTTCTTTACTTTTCAAGACACATTCATGCAGATTAGCAGGCCCTAGGTGCTTTGAAATACAAGCAAGAGAATATAGAGAAGGAAGTTGTCACTGATTTAAAATCCTCATCAGAAGCATGTACTTAGAGATGTCAAAGTTTCTATAGAAGGATCTATAGTGTATTACAGAGCAAGACAAAAGTATAAAAGGTTGTTTCAGGAGACATTTTCATCTAGCTGATCTCTAACATATTTTTCATTTTCCTGGACATAGTGCCAGTCACTCTAGATATTGTTCGTTACTTATTAAAAGATGCAAATTCTAGTTCATAACAAAAAAATAATGTAGTACTTTTTATTAAACATTGGGGTTTGGAGGACTTTAAAACTCAGCCATGGTATCTGTGCTTTCCCCACAGAAGAAATTAACAGTTATCCTTCACCTGAACTTCAGGAAGAGTGTGAAAACTTAGATCAGGAAGACATACAACAGCAACTGTCTACAACTGAAAGGTCTGGAATTTCCTTTTAAGTTTTTAGATTTTTTCCTTTGGGTCAGTGTTTATATTCAAAATAGCTTTAATAGAAACAGGATCAGGATCAAAAATGTTTTTCACAGTGTTCAGAAGGAATGAATCAGATGCATTTTTCAAGGCCATACTGATCCTTAAATATGTTTGGTTTTTTTTCCCCTCTCCTTGGAAGGATGCCTTTTCCTGGAACTGATGGAACTGGTTATGGTCATGGTTTAGAAGACGTTGAAAGAACTGAAAGTAGAGTCCTGGAGACTGTTATAGAGACCACCACAGAACCTATGTACACAATGCCAGAAATGAGATATGGTTATGAGGAGAACCAGTATTTTACAGAGGAAGATGTGGAAGGAGAAAAGCCACAAGAGTATGGAGAAGCTCAGGAGGAGAATGAGGAAAACTTACAGACAACAGTAGAAACTAGAGCTGCCTATAGTGATTATGGTATGATTTTAGAATATTAAAATCTTTTTTAATTCATTACAAAGACCCTAAATTGTGAAAGGCTCAGTTGAGTATTTATACATTGTGAAGCATTTCTATTCATTATATTTTCCAAAGTGTTTTGTTACCATACATTTGTATTCAGTCCAAATCTATATGGTAAGAGTTTGTAATTAAAGGCTGAACTGCAGGTGTCATTATGGCTTCAGCTTTGATTTGTAACTTTTTGTTATAAGGTATTATTAAGTTCTAACCTGCTTTACTAAAACAGCTGATCATTTTAAGTCTCCAAGTTGCACTATAATCACTGAGTTAGTCCTGTTGCTAACTTAGCTCAGTGTGGAGGAACTAAGTATGTCTCTGCTGCAGTCTGTTCCCATAGGAAGAACAGGATCCCTCAGCAGGAGGTATCCTATCAAAAGATATATTCTTCATGTTTTTTACTTTGCTTCCTAATTATGCCTTTTTCTTGGCAGATTTGCCGTTTGATACAATAGGTATGGGGAGCTGATTGTAAGACAATTTGCCACCCATTCTTCTAAAACAATTGAGTGTTTTCATTGTTTAGATTACAATTGGAGAGAATTTCTTTGAAAAAAAAAAAAGCCATAGCGTCTGCATAACTTTGGATGCGGTAGCTCATTTTTACAGCTGCCATCCCTTTGTTTTTCATCCCTCTCCACTCAAAAAATGATTCAAGAATGTCTGGTAGCCCCATCCTGATGAGAGAGGACCAATGCTTTTGCAAAACTGTGTTAATATTGGCTCTTTAATTAAGAGCTAATGTACCTCTGGGAATGCCACACATCCACAGTGCATGACAGACTTGCTCAGCACAGATGGAATTGGTCCAGTCACCTAACTGCATGTGTTCAGTCTTGAATCAGTGCTCCCATTAACCAGTTCATGAACTCTGTGGTCACACAGAGGATTCAGTAGCATGAAGATATGTTATTGTTTATACTTTACAAACAAAGTATTTCCTGTGAGGAAGTAGTCAGGGTCATTGCACTGATGTTGTGAGCAGTGACCTAAGCCACTTAAGGAAGATGTATGAATGGCCATTCCCAATCCTGAGTTGCGATCAGTGACCCAACAGTTTACTTCTAAAAACATGTAGCACAGTTCCAGAACTTGCCTTTTGGGAGATGTGATCTATTGCTTGAGATTACTGGTTTTCAGTTGATTAGGAGGAGAAGGCTATGTCATTATAAAACTTTAGGTTGGGTAGTTGTATCAGTATTTTGCTTTACTTCTCGGTGTTTCCCCCTCAATGTCATACAGATACTCAAGTCCAGAGCAGCTCTTCTGAGTAACTGAGTTTACATTGGTGAAAGCTGTTAGATCTGCACTTACTGAATACCAGATTGCTACTAAGTATGCTACTCTCGTCTACTTTTGGGCTAATTTATGCAATATAAATCTCTATTACTCTGGAATTTGGCTAAGAGACTATCATGGATAATTTAACCATCTATGTGTATGCTCATTTATGAAGTTTTACTGATGGATAGCAGTATAACAAGTTGGAATACAGAGGAGGGACATTTTGAAAAACTTTATTTACCTAGTCCCTATAGACCAGGTATAATCTTTTTTTTCTTTTTTTACAGTAATTTTAGTGAAAAGTTTATGTTAAAAGACTGAAGAACTTTTAGCATTCTTTCTGTTTATGCCATTGAAAATCTAGTTGTTTCAGACATTCTTTCTGGTGTAATCAATCATAAGAAGAGGGGCTTCAGACCATGCTGGCACTGTGGGTTTCTGAATGAATACTTAGTGAATCTTTGTAAGACCTTGAACACTGGCTACCTCTTTCACCTGCTAGTTTGCACATTTGTCTGAAATTACAATGCTGAGGAGGGTGGATCTTTCTTCCATTAAATCTGTCTTTTATTTCCCTTTTTCAGATGCATGTGGCCTTGCTCAAGATAGTGGAGAATGTGAGAATTACGTTCTGAAGTGGTACTATGACAAAGAGCAGAAAACGTGTGGTCAGTTCTGGTATGGGGGCTGTGGAGGCAATAAAAATAGATTTGAAACGCAAGAAGAATGTGGATCCTTGTGTATAGAGTCTTCCTAATCCAGAGACACGTAAATTGCTTTAATTCATTAGTTACACTATCAGGGTGATGGGCAAAAGGGTTTGAAAGCTTTACATAGTCACTCAGCTCCCACATTTCAGTTGAAAGATATACTTGATTGTAAAGTTATTACCTAGTAACTTAATAATGAAAATAAAATTTAAAACTATTTCTCAGTTGATTTAACGTGTTGAGTACTGAGAAACTTCTGTTAGCTAAGAGCGTATTGTTTAAAAAGGATAAAAGTGTTGAAACTTGACTTTCTTCCATAAAAACCAAAATGTGCACTTTCTAAATATACTGAAAAAATAAAACAATACCTCAGAGATTTTAATGAAATAACGTTGGGTGCAAGACACTAATGCCAAAATGTTTTGATGCATTTGCTTGCATTTATCCTGCTTACAGAAAATGCCAAAACGCATATAGCTCTCAAATGACATTGACTTATTAGAATTCACTTCACTTTGATTTAGAGTATTTTCTATCATAAAGTCATCTTGGCTTCTTAATTTTTTTCTGAATAATCCAACATGATAATAAAATCAGTCATTCTCAAATATTTCATTTCTGCTGTTAGTTCTTGAAACAGATGTAAGCATATTGTCATAGTGTGCCTTCTCATATGTAAATAAACATTCATCCCTTTCCCTTGTTACCAAAGGTTAGACAAGCGCATTCATTTTAGAACATTAGATTTCTGTGATTGCCCTTAAGGGGAAAAAATAAGTCCTGAGGATGTCTTCTGATTAAAGGTAATAAATACAATGCCCTGCAGAAAGGTAGGACTTAGCTGAGCTAAGTGTACTGTGCTGACTTACCCAAACTCTGCTGTTGCCCATTTTATGTCTGGGGAAATGATGGTGCATTTAAGTTTGTCACCTTGGGCCACTTTTTGTAGAGGTGGCTCTACTCACCTGGAATTTTGTTCTCTCTATTTGTCTACAATGTGATAGATAAAATATCTCTAATACATTTGCATGGACTTGCTGGCCAAGGGTTTCTCAACAGACTTTTAAGGAACATACATTAATTTGGATTTCTAGAGCCTGCTGATTCTGGCTCACGCAGAGGGAGTCTGTTATGAACAGTGACTTTGAACAGAGGGTACTCGTGAGGCTCTGCCAGCCTCAGGACTATAATAATAATGCTGAGCAACTCAGTGCTAAAGGTGACAGTGTCACCCTTAGTTCAGCTGACAAAGGGTCAAAATATCTCATGGATTACTGCTACTGACTCAAACTCTGAGTGGGGACAGGTGAGTTGATGAAGCCATTGGTTTTTCACCTTTGGATATTCTCGCAACAGAATGGGACTGCTGTGGAGTGGGAGGTACTCTACACTCTGTTTCTGTTCTTTTTCTACAGTTGTGACTGGGAAATGGTACTTAAGGGGGACACTGCAGCTGTCTGTTTGGGGGCTAGATGTGATCTATTTACTTTGTGAAGCAATAAATTGAACCTGTGTTTGCTTTTTACTACAATATGTGCAGTGCTTTTAATTCTGAAGTGTTTAATATCCAGCTTTCCAAAATGCTGTTCTCTAATAGCTGTTTCTCCACAGATGCTGCCAGTTGGCAGTAGTTTCTGTCCTCATTTAAAATCAGTGTCTCCCTCCCCTTAAATCAGGTGTACGTGAGAAGTGAGTTTCCCTTTTTTTGAGAACTAGGTCACTTTTTACACAAGACTCACAGAAATCTTTTCTCTAAGACAGAATAGCTTGGCAGTTTGATCTCCGATTTTCTTTAGAACTTTAATGCTCTCATTTTGTCCAGGTAAGTGAATAATTCTTTTGCTTGGAAGGGAGAAGTAAAAAAATCAAACGTTTCTGTTGTTGTAGCAGAAGCAATTTTTGGTCTCTCAGGTTCTCTTTGACCCAGGAGACGTGGGGTCCCCTGATGGATCTCTGCTGCCAGAAAGCCGTCTCTTATTATCTGGGGCTAGTCTTGCTGCTGGCTCAAAATTTTTGTTTTTCAGTGAGGGAAGCATCCTGCTGGATGTGATCCTCCCTCCTTGATAAGGAGAAATTTATGTCTGTGTGGACTGACTGGCTCATGCTTTCTATGCACACATCTTCCATCTCATTGCCTCAGACACGCTGGTTGAATCATCCCTCTGGAGCAATGCAAGATAAGACCAACCAGTTGCCCCCCTTGAAGAATGACTCTCAAAGCCTCCTAATCTGTTTTTCCTTCTTCTTTCATCCCTGGCATAAATCCCCTGGGCTCTTTTCTAAAGGGAGGAATATGCTAGCTACTGCAGGATGCTTAGGGGTCTATTGTCTAACCCCTCTCTCATCCTTGTGGTTATGTCAGGTGGTCCAGCAAGCAGCATTTGCAGGCTTTTTTTTCTTTTTTTCAGACATATGGAATACTGTAGGAATTCGGATGAGTTACACAAGGTAACATGAAAAGAATTATTTTGCAGGCAACTGACTAGACTGCTGCATTTCACTGAGTTGTGAAATATAAGCATTCAGCAGATGGTAAAATGTTTTTGTGAAATCTTAAATTCTAATGCCAGTGAAATATTCTGGTGTTGCCGTTTCTAAGCGCTGAACAGACATTTGTGAGAAATCTCGGTGCTGAATTTTGTATGCTGTGTGAGTTGAGGCTGTACTTTTGGTGCTGTGGGCGCTTAAACTTCAGAACATTGCTCTAGGTAACGGAGTACCTAGCACGTACTTTTTTTGAACCCTTGACATCCTTTTTAGTGGCTGTGGTGTAAATGGATGGTGGAACTGTAAAAGGATCGCCTGTGTATGGTACAGCGTGTAGTGAACTCCTCAGGTCACTAGGAGCCCTTCCTCCCAGCCTGTCCCCTCAGTGCCTTTGTGCAGCTATGGTTACAACACTGTAGCTCAAGGCCTTTGTGCCAGTGCTAATAAACCCTGCTTTTTAAAACCAAATTAATTAATACAGGAATTGCTGCCCATTAACAGAGTAGAAACTGGGATATTTCTCTTTGTACTGTGATATGACTGTCTGCCAAGAGATAACATTCTCTCCTCTAATAAAAGCAGTCCTCTGAAGATGTATGTGCTGCTCAGTTGAGTGAATTATGAGCAGCCTCTCCCTGCTGAATCCCAAATTCCCCCCCAACTATAAAATAAACATGAACCTCTCAGAAGTAGCAACAAAGTGGCTTCTTTATGGATGTTGTCAGAGGCTGTATTCAGAGTCAAGCCACACACTTAGACATCTGTTTACGGAGCAATTTAATTTTGCCACAGTAAACCTGTGTGTGATGTTTATGCTGCTGAGGGCCTTAATTAACACAATCTGTAGTTTAAAAAGTGCAAGAAGGTAGATCTACTAAACCTAATCCTATTACTGTTGTATGTCAACCCAAATGCACATATTCTATCTAAATTTTGTAATCCAGAGTATCTGAATTCTGAGGCCCAATCCTCTGACAAGGAAGGTGATCAACAGAGAACAGATATCCCTGGAATGAAAACACTGCCTCTGAGTTCTGCTGAATGAAAGTGAGTAAATTTAATGCCCTTGCTTATTTGTTTTTTTTTTTTTTTGTTACAAGGGTTATAATGATGTGAAAATGCTCATAATCTAGTACTAATTTGTAAAAGGTTTCAGATTGCATTTTATACTAATTAGACCTGGTAATTCATATCTTTATTAATTTAATGGGGCCAGATTGTGTTGAAGAGAGAGAAAAGATCTGAAGCATGTTTGAAGGAAAAGCATTCAGCTTTCTGGCTTTGTGTTATTTTCTAGCTCCTACTGCATAATCTGGCTGTGTATCTCACAGATGGATTGACCATTTTTTTTAATGAGAAAGGAGCCCAGTTTATCTAAAACACATAAGGGGTAAATTTTATCTTTTGTAACAAAGCTAGTACATGTCCTGGCTGTAATTGGAACCCAGTGTGAGTGGAATGCAAGTCTTGTGTTCTGCCTCAAAGCATGAGGTGAATGCCATTGCATCTTGGCAAGGTGCAATGCATGTGCAGAATTTGAATGGGGTTGGCAGTTACCAATATGTAAGAAGTCAGTGTTGCCCTTTTTGCTGACCCATAGAGCCTTGATGCTTGCAGGGTTGCTGGTAGTGGCCTGGTCCTGTTTCTCAGCACGTGACAGACCTTCAAGAATCCCAGGTCCTGGAGACCAAGGGGTTAATCTGGAGCAAGGAGGAGCTACCTTTGGAGGAAGAGGATTAGGTCAGGGAACGCTTAAGCAAACTGGACATATATAAATCCATGGGCCCTGATGGAGTGCACCCATGAGGCAGCTGAAAGATTTAATTGGGAGGCCACTCTTGATAATCTTCAATCAATCATGGAAACTGGGAGAAATGCCCAAAGACTGGAAGAAAGTAGATGTCACTCCTGTCTTCAAGAAGGGCAAAAAGGAGGACCCAGGGAACTACAGGCCAGTCAGCCTCACCTTGATCCCTGGGAAGGTGATGGAGCAGCTAATCCTAGAAACCATTCCAGGCACATGAAAGACAAGAAAATAATCAGGAGTAATCAGTATGGATTAATCAAGGGGAAAAGTCATGCTTGACAAACTTCTGTGATGAAATGACTGGCCTGGTATATGAGGAGAGAGCAGTGGATATTGCCTGGATTTTAGTAAGGCCTTTGACACTAGAGGTCTGTGTAGACAAGATATTCAATGTGTGAGCTGGATGAGCAGTGCGGTGGATTGAAAACTGGTTGGTTGGCTGGACCCAGAGGAGGATAATCAGCAATGCAACATATGTTGAAGGCCAGTAACTAGCAGTGTACCACAGGGGTCAATACTCGGTCCAGTCCAGTTTAATATCTTTATTAATGGTCTGTATGGGGCAGAGTTTACCCTCAGCAAACCTGCAGATGGCATAAAACTGGAAGTAGCTGCTATGCCAGAGGGTCCTGTTCCTGTCTGGAAAGACCTGGGCAGGTTGGAGAAATATGCTGATGGGAACCTTACAAAATTGATCAAGAAAAAGTATGAATTCAACAACTCCTTTCTCATTTTTCATCCAATATTAGATCAACAAAGTGAAGTGCAAAGTCCTGCACCGACAATATGCTGGGGAACACCCAGCTGGAAAGCAGCTTTGCAGAAAAAGACCTGGGGGTCCTGATGGACAGAGCTGAACGTGAGCCAGCAATGTGCCCTTGTGGCAAAGGCACGTGGTATCGTGGGCTGCGTTAGTTGAAGTATTGCCAGCAGATGGAGGGGGTGATCTTTCCTTTCTACTCAGCACTGGTGAGGCCACACCTGGAGTACTGTGTCCAGTCCTGGGATCCCCACTACAAGAACAACGCAGGCACACTGGAGAGACCTGCAAAGGGCCACAAGGATGATGAAGGGACTGGAACACCTCACGTATGAGGAAAGGCTGAGACAGCTGTAACTGTTCAGCCTAGAGAAGAGAACGGTCAGGGGAGAATCTTATAAATCTATATAAATACCTGAAGGGAGGGTGCAAAGAATACAGAGCCAAGCTCTTTTCAGAGATGTCCTGTGACAGTATAAGAGGCAATGGGCACCAGCTGAAACACAGGAGGTTCCCTCTGAACATCAGGAACCACTTTTTTACTGTAAGAGTGATTG